AGTGAGCACTCCAGCAGAAGGGCTATCCCACTGACCTTCCTTCCCATCCTGCGTGATCCAGGCCTCCTCTAACACGTATTCAACAACTCCTCCACCTGGTCCTGTTATCATACGTGAGAATCCCATCTCCTCTATCACACCGCTCATAACCTCCTCGACCGTTGTACCGCGCGCCAGGAACCATTGGAACTCTAGGTCATCATCTGCATCTGGTATACGCAAAGAAGAGAGCGTAAGACAAAGGGAAGGATGCAGTGAGACCAAACGGATAGATGGCGTATGTAAATGAGAGCTAAGAGGGAGGGGATACGATTCATGACGCCTCTTACAATGAGCGGGCTAATGATGATGAAGAGGGAGGAACTGCAAAACAACGCCCAAAGGGTGCAGAATACTCGCAGACCACCAAAGTCAAGAGCAAGGAGCGCCACTCTCACCGCTTCAGTCTGTTTGATGGATGGGGGACGGTGTCTTCCCCTACGTATAATGGGAATCCTCTATCACACGCCCTTGCAGGCGACAGGAGCAGTATCAATGTAAGTGCTCCAGTGGCCATGCTGAGTCCTCAAGAAACAGGACTCGGTATTGGCTTAGACAAGTTACCAAACCTTTCCGAGGCGGATATTGTCCTTGAATTGGAGAAGATGATGGTAGGTTCATCATTTTGGGTGGTAGTGGCTACCTTTCTGATCCTCTTTTAGGATGAGCTCGGCCTCAAAGACTCTCGAAGGGAAGCCATGCGTAAATTACCTTTAGAAAGGAAGCAGTATTTAATTCATCAAAGCAAACAAACGCGACACGTAATACAAGCTTTACCTTCAGCAGATGGATCCTTCGGTCCCAAGCAAATAGCCAGTCCTATTTCACCCCAAATTACTGGAGGACTAATGAAGCGCTTTTCTATTTGGGGATCTGCAGCGCCCTCTCCAACAACGTCAACCCCAACTCTGGTGCAGGAATCTGTGGAACCTGTACCAGAAGCTCTACCTATCGTACCGCAGACTACCGGGAGCTTATGGGGGAATTGGTGGTCAAGTGGACCTCGTGAGATGGAAAAACCTAAA